CCCCATGGCCACTGAGCCTGCAGCAAGGCCCAAGCTCCTCGAGTTACCTGCACTTATTTACAGCCACTGCTGCGCTCTCCTAATGATGTGTTTCATCTGGGAACACAGCTAATAACCCGACTGAGCCCTAACCTGGCAAAAAGGGAGAGCAAAGGGGAGACTCTGCCATGCACTGGGTATCTTCTAATAGGAAACCTGAGAATCTGTTGCACAGGGCTATGCAGGAGCCTTGCTACAGCCTGGGGCTGCAAATCACTGCCCCTTTGCGAGGGCACAAACCTTGGGGTGACACAAGCCACCCACCGTGCTCTCCTTCTGCAGAGTCATGCTTGGAGTCCCACTGGTACATGCAATAAATGCACCTCATGGGGCTTTGGATGCAAAAATCCTAAATGTTATTGAGCTTCTCCTTGCCACGCACTACACCCCAAAGCTGCAGCTCTGCATGAGGCACAGTGGTTATTTGGCTTCCGCTTGCTGCTGCGTGCACTGAAGCCATGGAAACAAGTGCGCTTTGGATGAACACAAGTGAAAGCTGCACCTCATCTGAGGGCATTCCACATGAAGCTGGAGCTGGCTGCAGCACTGAGAGCACGAAGCAGGCTTCTGGTTAGGAATAAGCAGGATGAGCCCCTCTGAAAGCCCTTCCCCACCCGACAGCAAAAGCTGTGTCAATCCTATATAAGGGTTCCAAGGAAAATAACACAGAAGAAGCAAACCAACAGCACAAAGTCCTAAGAGCTGATATTCCCTGCATGCATCATCTCTAAAACCCTGCCACAACAAAGCTCTTCAGCGCACTTCAATTTCCCTGACTGCACTATGTGTGCTTTGCTAAACCAGGGCTGCAGGTTGCATTAATTATGGATTATTAAAACACCGAGCAAATGACAGCAGAGGGGCTGCAGTGAGCACGTAGGCTTGGTGTGAGGCTGCAAATGAGGCACCTGGGAGGGGAAGCAGCTCTCAGTCCCCATTCTGTTAAACTCCCTGTGAAGCTTGGCTAACACTGGCAAGGCATCGCTGCAGCCCACGTCCCACTGCAGGGACAGCGTTGTCTGCCTCACCCCAACAGGGGAATGCAGAACTTATCATAGTGCAAACAAACAGGGCTGTACTGCCTCACTCTCCTCCCCTTCGCATTCACCAGAGTGCAGGCAATCACTCCTTGGCATCCCACAGAGGTGCCCAGCAGGGACGCAGCCATGCAGGATAGAACCATGTGCCATTTCCCATTCCCCCGTGTCAGAGCTCAGTCTCTCCCACAGCACAGAGCAGGCACGTCCTCCCCGCCCCTGAAACATGATTTATTTTCAGTTCAACCCCAAGAACTAAAAAGGAACTTAAGGACAAACAGCCTTCCCGTGGATTTGTTTATAACTCAGCCTCACTTCACTCCTGACTGACCTTGGGGTGTGCAGAAATAAAGCAGAGCCACTATAAAACTGAAAGGCACAGAGAGTAAACAGGCTGCGAGGGGAAGGCCAGGTGCCCTGCAAGTTAGGGAATCCTGTCCAGCCCCCTCTGTCTGACTCACTAACAGAAGACCTTAGGTGGCCATCTCCAGCCAGCCTTCTCCACATCACTTGTGAAACCAGCACATCATTCCTCTGTTCCCAGCAAGAATCTCCCACAACATTCCCAGGGTGACGTTTTTGTTGGAAGAGTCACAGTGAGCACGCTTGCAGCTGCTTCTTTTGCACAGACAAGACCCCACAGACAACCATCATCCTATTCTGAAGGGTAATTGCTGGGAAAGCAACAGTGAAGCCAAAGGGCACCACCAGGTCCCACATACAACACAGAAAGGGACAGACTCTTTAGTAGGGTCTGTTGTGATAAGACAAGAGGGAAATGGCTCCAAACTCAAAGAGAGGAGATTTACATCAGATATAAGGAAAAAGCTGATCAGGATAAAGGTAGTGAGATGTTGGCACAGGTGGCACAGAGAGGTGGTGGATGCCCAACACCTAGAGACAGCCAAGGTCAGGCTGGATGGGTTCTGAGCACCTGATGGAGCTGCAGGTGTCCCTGTGCATTGCAGAGGGGTTGGACCAGATGACCTTTAAAGGTCCCCTTCAAGTCAAATGATTCTGTGATTCAGCTGGCCAGCACATGGGGACAGGGATGCAGAGGGCCTGATGTGCTACTGCTGCCTTCTCTCTTCTTTCTCTGCTCTTTACTCCATGTGTCCCTGCAGGTCCAAGTGCAGAGCAGAAGAGCTGAAGCTGTACAGAAGCATGCCAAACCTCATGACATTCAATGACAAAATGCCAGAGAAGAAATGTCCCTGGCACTTACACAATACTTCAGCTCTGACCCATCTTCACATGCTGGGCACATCCTCTCGAGCTGAGCAGGGAGAAAAACAAAGCACAGAATGAAGCACAGGGAGCTCTGGACATCCCCTTGCAGTGGGGCACAGGGATAGGATCAGCCCCTGAACTCTGCTCCTCCTGAAGTCCATCCCCACCAGTGTTTGGGATGAGGTCAGGAGCTGCTCCCAAGCTCTCGCTGCAGGAGCTGCTAAGCCAATGTGTGCTTTCTTGGAAATCACATCTCAGCCCTGAGAAACAGCTTTTTTCCTCTTTTAGTCCTAGCTTTCAGCCTCTTCTACACAGGGGAGCAGGGGCTGTGCCATGTGGTGACACAGCGCAGTGTCACAGGGACAAGCACTCATTCATTTTCTCACAGTCATACATTTTCTCTCTCTGCTTTCTGGCCAGATCACAGTTGCTGTTTAGTCCTAGAAAAACAAACTGTTTGGAGCCTCTGGGCATCTTGTAACAGAGGAGATAACAGAGACGTGTGCCATACATGCGCAGTCACATTGCACTCTGCATCAGCACCAGTTAACATATTTTGTCCTGGATTTCCGCCTGTGACAGATGAGAGGAGGAAACGAAGCTCATCTGTTACCCTCACACAAACGCATTTTCTCAATACTTCCAATCTCTGTCTCCTTTTGCAGATGACACTGTCACCGCTCAGGGCAGCTTCCCCTTCAAGCACTCACGCTCTCTGCAGGCTGCACACAAAGAGGCTGTCACCACAGAGAAACATTTAGCCTGCAGGTACCTCCTTAAGTGGGCTATTTGACCAGCTGGGATTTTGTGGAAATGGCTTGGAATCATCAGAGAGCAGCTCTTGGTGTCTGATTCAGCTGCTAGGCACACACAGCGCTTGCAAAACCTTTTTAGAGGGCAATGCAACAATCAGAGCCTGGCTACAAGAGGCTCCTAGGACTCGAGTTAACTCTTCTGTCCGCAGGATAGGAAGCACGTCCGTGTTGCTGCCTGCTCTTACTGACATCTCAGCTAATTATTAGTTAAGATGTAACAGAAACATTACAGCAAAATCTGCTGCCAGGGAGGAACCGCTCCACTTTTAATACATGCTCTGCAGGTCAGGAACTGTTTGCCCTTCAGCTCTTCATAAAAAAAAAAGAATGTTTTCAGCGATGCTGTAAAGTATCAGATGGACTCGGTACTCATTATTTCAGCTGCAAGGTGAAGCAACCATGCAAAGTTGGTAACTCAAAGGAACCTGGGACAGCAGGGGAGCACTGGAGCAGCTGGGGTGTGCTCTGCAGGGGTCTGCGAACTTGAGATACTGGCAGACCCCGCGTTCTTTTTTTAGCATGATTTACAGGACATGCATGGGGAAAAGCAAGCAGTGCAGCAGCCTGGTTTTCATTTGCATGATACGTGCCATGGAACTTGCTTTGAGGGGATAAAGAAAGGCAGTGACTGTGCCCTGTCACCAAATTTCAGCTTTGCAACTGGGTTCAAAATCACAGACCTTGGCCAGGTCACCGAGTTTGTCCTCCAAACATTACCAATGAAATGGGATAATTCTGCCTTTGTTCCCGGCGCTCTCTGCCAGCAGCACAGCACTGGGAGCTGCCTGTCATCAGCCCAGTGCCCCTGCAAAGCTCAGCCAGGTCCCAGAGCAAAGGAGATTATTAGATCTTACACATTAATAAAAATGTTATCACCTCCCTCTTCAGAGGTACTGCTTACACGCGTTACAAGCCCCATCATGCTGAGCTACTTCCCCGAAAAGCAGCAAAGAAGCAAATTATTGTGCAGGCACTGTCTGCAAGGAGACACACTGCAGCTACACGAAGGAAGATGCCGCTGGGAGATCTCCCTCCCAGCATTTCTAAAGGGGTTTCTAAAATGAAATCCATAATGAGTTTTCACTCTAATATGAAAGATTTGCCACGTTTTTTTGTCTCTTGACCTGTATCCCAGAAACCTCGTTACACTTCAGTTCCAAAGATGGAAACAGTCACTTCAATATTAAGATATTGCTCATAGGAACTCGGTGTTGCTCAAGAGTATTTGTACTGGGGTTTGCACAAGAGGAGGAACAGGAGTGGTTTTTGAAACGCGGGGCTTTGCTTTGTGGAGCGGCTCCCAGCTCCCTCTGCATTTCACATCTTGCTTCTATGTGTGCCTGTGTGAGGCTGCAGCAAAACCCAAATGCATCTGCAGTGAGATGACACACTCAGATACAACTGGGACAAAAAGGCAAGAAAGGAGAAGGAATTTGCCCTAACTTGCCACAAGTTCCATAGCTGCACATTGTGTAAAAGGGGTTAAATGTGATTGTTCCAAAGCATTTAAAAATATTTCTAGCCCACAACGGCAGCTGACAACAGTCCTCAAAGTGCTGAATGCTGGAATCTGTCTCTGCTTTAGCAGTTGGCCTTGATTTTTTCTCCCTTATGCACAAAGCAGAGGATTAAAGAGCTTGAAAACATTTGTTTCAAGCTATGTAGAAAGGCCAACCATTTACAAAGCATTGCATTTGCTAAATGGGCAGATCGAGTGAGACAGGGCTGCCAGGCACACGAGGGACCAGGCAAGCAGCCGGTGGCCCTCAGCCATATCCCTTGGTACCCATCCTGCCTTAGTGCCAGCCACATCTGGTGGCAGGAAGGAGAGAGCTAGAAGCACCCTACTGCCCTCTGCATTAATTGTAACACGTTATAACGAGCCCAGCTCTTGTGTCCCAGCCCAGGGTGACCGTGTGCTTTGTGGATCTGGAATCTGTTTCAAAAGGAGGAAACGCTGCAAGACTCCTGCCACAGTGACACTGTACATGGAGCCTTGCTGAGCACCAGGGCCATGTCACACGGCAGAGGGAAGCAATGACATACCTGTGGCATTAGAAAGAGCCAGGGACTCCATGGAGCCTCGGGGAGTTTGCTCGGTGGGCGTCAGGTCCTCTGTGAACTTCAGGGTGTTGATGGGGTGCCGGGTACGGCACTGCGGCGTGGGCATCCTGCCTTCCTCTTCTTCTTCGTACTTGGGAACTTTGAGGCTTCCCCGGGTCTCGGGGAAGCTCTGGTTGGACATGTCGCTGTAGCTCTCCTGGGATCGAAGCCTCCCCGAGTAGTAGTCCTCTCTGCAGTCCTGGATGAAGCTGCCTCCGTGCCCCTTCATGGCCAGCGAGGAGCTCCTTTTCGGGTTGCTGAAATGCTTAGCCCATAGATCTGGCTGCGAACCTGGGACCTGGCTGGGGTTATAGGAAGTCCTAATATTGCATTGGCTGAGAAGCTGGAGAGGACTCTGGGCCTGCCCCTGCTCCATCTTGCTCCCGTAGTGGTAGAGCTCGTCCCTGCTCCTCCATACGTGCTCCCGGTTGAGGCTCGGCGTCTGGCTGGCCAGGCTCAGCAGGTCCATCTGCAGCGAGAGCGGGTCCACGTCAGTGGAGAGGCGGTTGGAGGTGACCTGCAGCTGGCTCAGCGCCGCCTCCTCCGCCTTGCCCTTGTTCTTGCCGATCTTGGCACTGCGACGGGACTCCTTGGCCCGCGCACTCTGGAAGGCTGAGTCGGAGGAGTCGGAGCCGTTGGGGTCATCGCCCACGCTGCAGGCCCGCGAGCAGAAGATCTGCCCCTGCTTGGGCAGGAAGGGCCGGCCCAGAAGGGACTTCTTGCACTGCGCACAGCAGAAGCAGGTCTCGGTGGCGTGCCAGTGCTGCCCGTCGTACGTCATCTGGCCCTGGTCAATACCTGGGGGGAACCATGCACACAGTTAGGCCACCTGATGGATGCTCATTGCTTCCTGCCCTAAACCCTATGTGCCCACTGCTCGGCCGCCCTGTGACACCTACCCGCACTCGCTCTCAAAAGCCCTTCGGTGGGGTTTCTCTGGCGAGTGAAGTTACACCCATTCCTAATTCTTTGCAGGTTGCAGGCCTTTGTTAGGGAGTTGCTCAATGCTGGGAAAGGCAGCGGAGGCGAGCCTCAAGCTATTTCATATTAAATGGGGATATTTCCGATCATAAAGCAGAGGAATGCAAGAAGTTCTCCATAAAGTCCTTGAAGCCAAAGCAATAATATGCTGCCTATTTAAAAGCCAAAAAGCGTCCAACCAAACCATAAAGAGGGATCTGTAAGTACGTAACAGAACAGATCTCATCCCTGCCCCTCGCTGCTCCGGTCCTGACTGCCTTCCCAGATTCACTTTATTCTGGCTGCTGGGGCCCCTTTTCCAAAAGGCAGACAGAGCCTGCTCCAGGGGTTTAAGTGTATCCCCGTGCTTCCCCCCTCAGCCAAATTTTTTCCTGCCAAGCCTCTTGGGATAAGTAATGGAATGAACACAAAGAGCTTGTCCCCAGCCAGTGACACCCCAGGCTAGTTGCAAGCGTCGGCCAGAGCCGCTGTAGCACGTGCCTGCTACAGACATCAGAGCTGTGAGCAGAGCTCCCAAGGCTTCAATTACAGCACTTATTTGCTGTTTGAGCTGCCATTCTGGGCAAAAGCCTCTGTTACCTGAGAAACTGCCGCACAGGGTGCAGGCAGGCTGAGCTGTGGGGAGCCTTGCTGCACGTGTGCACAGCCCTGCTTGCACATGCACTGTAGCCCCTGCTCGCACACATGCAACAGCCCTGCCACTGGAAGTGTCCGATGCCACTGGTTGATTCACAAATGAACTATATGTTCACAATCCCTTTTATTCCAAGTTAAACTTGCTTTAGCCTGGTTGGTTTTTCTGCCCCTCATAATGAGCGAAATGCTTTTATATAGAGTGCCCTCGTAGACAAAAGAGAGAAAAGACAGCGGGTGGGATTTCATCAGCTTCTTTTTCAATGATCCATAACTATCTTGCAGAGACAGGGGCACAGCTTCCCTGCTCAGCAGCTCTGCCATACATCCCACTCCCTCTAAGTCTCAAGCACACGCCTGAGTTCTGCAGCTGCTAAGCACATTTAGCAACTACCAAGAGCAAGTTGCAGCAAAATGGCTGCAGCCATTCTTTGCTAGAAATGTGCAAATGCACAGCAAAACGGGAACTGGAGGGAAAACCTGGCAGTGAGCAGCCTCTCTGCCAAATCCCTGCACCAGCTTTGGTAGAGGTGCCCGTACCAGGTGATCAGCCAATGTGCTTACCTGTTACAGGTACCCCTCTTCTAATGAGGCCTGGCAAAATGAAATCCCAGCTGCCATGGGAAAGGGGAAGCAATAGCTGGTTAGCCGAGCTAAGTCTATGCAGGGCTCTGTAGCAAAGAATTGGCAGCAGATGGGTGAAGCACAAGTGAAGGGACCGTGAGAGGCACAACAGCTGCTTCTGCACTGTTCTGCAGCTGAGCTTTCAGAAAAGATGTGCCATAGGATGCAGAAAACACATCTTCCAAGTGCTTTGTTGAAGCCTCGTGTCTTCCCCTGTGCCATCTGCCCGGTGCACAAGAGCAAAATGGTTTTTTTGCCTCCCTCCAGCCTGTGAATGATTGGAACGCTGCACTGGCACGTGAGTTCACCTCCACGGACAGACAAAGGCTGCCTGTGTGCCATGCGTGCAACCGCATGAAAATGCTCAGCCAAAGGGCAAAGCAAGCTGTGCAGCCATGCAGTGAGGAAAGAGCCAGGCTCGGTGAAACGCACACCCCACACCAGCCCATCTTCCTGCTCCAAAAAGGCAAGTTGACTCTGATGCATTATTTCTTTCTGCCTGAGAACATCTGTCTGCAGGTTAATTATAAAAAGGCAAACAGAAACAATCATGATGCCTAATAAGCAACCATCTTTTGCATCAGTAGCTCATTAACTCCTGTGCGAGTCTTCAGCTAGCTGAGCTGGGAGGAAGCTGAGATTCAAAGAGATAGGCTGCTTACAGGAAAATGAGGTTTAAAAGAACAATGTGTGCATTAAATTCTGCCGGAGAAAGCTCTCCCTAGTTACACAGCTCCTAGGACTGCTCTGCCATGGACACAGAGGAGCACACGTACCGATGTGCTGGGCGCAGGTGTCGCAGTACTCAGCATAGAGGGACTCGAAGCAGCTGCAGCAATAGGGCCGCCCGTCCTTCATGATGTACCTCTGCCCCCCCAGCACAGTCTCACACTCGAAGCAGCAGAAGTGCTTCATGTGCCAATGCCGCCCTTCGGCCTCGGTGCATTCATCAGCAAAAATGATCTGGGGGAAGAAAAGAAACGATGGAGCAGAGTCAGTCAGAGAGGGGACCCAGGATGTGGTCTTCGTGTCTCTTTTGCTCACACAACCTCTGAATTTCACAGCTAAACCCTCAGTCTCACACCCTGTTAAAATGCAAATGGCTGCACGGACCACAAAGCGTTAATGTCCAGCTTGCAGTAATGGGTCCTGGGGGTGCTTGTAAGCACATCCATCAGCAGAAGGGGTCGATGAGGGTAATAAACACACTCACATACAACCCATCGATCCAGGGGACTTTTGAAGAAATGAACAGCCACTTATTAAAACACATCTACCCGTCCCTGAAACAGGGACCTGACTACAAAGGATGACTAAAAGCACAATGAAAAGTGGCAGGTCTCTGGAGGGGAAACAGAGCTACCTGGCTCCTCACCATCACCCCCGCCCTGCTGCCACCTGCTTGCACTGACAGCTTTCCCCTTTCTGAGTTCCCTCGTCACAGTCAGTGCTGGATGCTCCAGTGAAAGAAGCGTGTGCGAAAGAAGCCAAATGAAAGAAAGCCTAGCATGAGAATTTGCAAGGATAAAAAGTACAAGAAAAGAAATTACCCAGCCTAAACCACGAGGAAACTGGGCCAGTTGCATGGTTAGGAGTTGTTTTTTTCACCGGTAACATTACAAATTTAATTGGATACATACATCAATGTTCTTCATATTTCAAGCACATATAGCCCTGGATTTTTGCTATTACACGCTTGCATAGATGGGACTTGGTATTTTATAGTACATATGGTTTTCCACACTATGGTTTTCTTAACTTTAGAAGCCAGAACAATTTCCTTCACCAGCCTTTTAAACAGAGATTGACACTTGAGAAATGCTCAGAGTCAACTCTGCACGGTTTTCTACGTTCGTTTTGTATTCCATTTGTTCAGCTTCCTGCATCCCTTTAATCTCCTCTCTGCAAGCCTGTTTTGGCTCGGCGTGCGCTCAAACACTACTGCTTGTAAGAAACACAACACTCATCCCACCAGAGGCTTCCTCCGGGGGAAGAGAGGAGAAGGAAGGAAGGGCACACACAGCCAGGCTGAAATTACAAAGCATGGGTGGGTGTGTTGTTACTGGAAATGCTTTGGGTAGATTTCAACACAAAATCCCACAGGATGCCAAATGGAAACCCTACAAAAAGCTTGCAAGGCAAAGCCAAAGCATCATACTTTGCATCCATTCCTTCTGTACACAGAGAGGAAATACCTTCTCATGCATCTGTGCTGGGGTGCATCTTTTTGGTGGCACCCCTTCAGTCCAGCCCTTGGATCCCGAATTCAAATCACTGCCTATTTTGCTTTGTTCTTATGAGTCACTCAGGGAAAAAAAAAACCCACCTCATGCTATAGAAAAACAGAGGACAGAGGTGGGCAGTGGGGTTTCATGGGGTTTGTGGGCTCTTACCTCATCGCACGCTGCACACCGAGGCTTGAGGCACTCTGCATGGTGCCTGCCACAGTAAATCTTGCCATCTTGGTAGAAGTAGATCAGATCGACCAGCAGTTCATTGCAGACGCTGCAGATGAAGCAAGGAGGGTGCCAGCAAACGCCGTGCCCAGCTCGCGAGGCAAAGACGGCGATGTCCCCTCCGTTGATCTGCCCACCGCACTGTTAGAAAAGCCAACATGAGACCAGTGAGTCCATCCCTAACGAGATGCTTTTGCAAAGGTGGCAGAACGTGGTAATTCACTGTTCGGGAATCCCCCTCCTGCTGCCTCTCCAAGAATCTCAGCAGCTTTTTGGATCCCATCTTGGTTCCACTTCTGCCTTGCTGGTGTCTCACTGCAGTGGTGACAACCCAATGGGCACTCACTGTGATGGTGACCCAACGACTGCTTGCTGCAATAATGTATCTCAAATACTGCATTCAGTTTTAGACCCCTCACTATAGGAAAGACAAAGAGGCACTGGAGCATGTCCAAAGGAGAGCAATGAAGCTGTGGAAGGTTTGGAACACAAGACTTATGGGAAGCCGCTGAGGGAACTCGGATTGTTTAGTCTGGAGAAAGGGAGGTTCAGGTTGGACATTAGGAAAAAGTTCTTCTAGAAAAGAGTGTTGATGCATTGGCACAGGCTGCCCAGGGAGGTGGTGGAGTCACTGTTTCTGGAGGTGATCAAGAATTGTGAAGATGTATCACTGAGGGATGTAGTTAGTGGGCACAGTAGAGGTAGGCCAATGGTTGGAGCAGATTATCTTAGAGGTCTTTTACAAGCTCAAAGATTCTGTGATTCTATCCCCAGGATCCCAGCAGCTTTCCCTGCACTAGCTTTGGGATTAGTGACTGCTCTGGTGTCCAAAATCCATGGGGTGCTCATGGCATGCTCCCATCACTCTGTTGCCTGCTACCCACCTGCTCACAGATGGCTCCTGTCATGGTCACAGGGAATGGTCGGACATTTCCTCTCCCTAAGTTTTCCCTCTTTCTTTGATTGCTGAAGAGCTTGAGCTCCCTCTTCTCCTCCTCATCCAATGAATTGCAGTAACGGACCTAGAAAACAGAAGCGATGTTCGGTGATCTGAGCCATAATCCCATAGGCTCTGCGAATCCAAGAAAACATACAGCCACCTCCATAGGTGTAACTTCAGCAGAAATTCAAACTCTTCCCAGCCACCATTTCTACAATGCATAAATGAAATACAACTGAAAATGTATGACCAGGCCTACTTCTTCCACCAGCCACATTATAGCAGAGACATTACAGCAGTATCCAAGTGTTTTGATGGTGTTTCTCAAGCACGGCCCACTTTCCCTGTGTAAACAATGGAGTTCCAGCTATTTGGGAACTCCAACGGTTATTTCTCAACACTTCAAGAGGAGCAAAACCAAGCATGAGTGGGAACTGGATGCAAAATGCTCAGGGAAGCAATGCTCAGGGAAACAACACTTGCTCGTTGTTCCAGCCTGCAGCAGCTTTGCTTTGCTGCGCATTTATCCCGACGTTTTTCAGCTGTGGGTTTCTGACACTGCCAGAGGAGGCAGGAGGGCAGGTTTGGGCCCGAGGGTGCGTGCGAAGCCCCTGCACGGTGCCGGCAGCGCCGCACTGCTCCGGTGGCACCCAGCCACGCATGGGCAAAGTCGTGAATTCCTGACCTAGATGAGACAAAGTACCTGCTTGTCTTTTCCAGTGCGGCTTCTTCAAAAGGAGCACAAAAATCTTTTTTTGTTGCTGTTGTTGACAAAGGGAAATGTTGCGGGCTAGCAGCAGCCAATGTTCTCCCTGATAAAAAAACACGTCAGACAGCAGACCCTTTCTGCTGCCTCACACGTCTTTCCTGCAAGATGCAGCGAGGTGTGCTTGCTCTGCAGGTGTTGACTCAAACCCTGGCCTCCCAGGCTCACAGCTCGTGAGCAAAACACCTCACCAACCTGGTACACATCAAGGTGAGCTGGAAGGAGCGCCTGGGAAAGGCTTTTGTTACTTTGCATCTGGCTGAGATAAACACAACTTAGAGCTGCTTTGAGCGTGGCTTCCAAAGGCTGGGAAAGTGCTTTTATGGCAGAGAAGTGCAGATGATTTCAAAAACAAAAACTGAGACTTAAAAACAAACAGCTCCCAACCTCCAGCAGAATCCTATCAGGTAGCAAACAGCTCCGTTGAAACAGCAATGCAGCCAAACTCCATGAAAAGGCAGAAAGGGCTGCAAAAAAGCCACCCACACCTCCAAAGAGAGAGACAGCAGGACAAGCATCCCATGCCCTTCTGTCACCAACACCACGAGGTCACTCACCTCATTGTCATGAGGAGGCAGCTGGTGCAGAAGCTGCTTGATGCGAGACTTTTCCCCCGGGCTGTTGACGTAGGGCACCTTGTCTTCTGGAAGGCAACTGTAGTACTGGTGCACCTAGGGAGCAAAAACAGGCACCAGTTATTTCTGACCGAGCAGAGCAACACAGCCACGTGCTGCCTCAGTTTTGCTGCCTTTTTCTCCCAAGAGGGCTCCAGGAGGGCGGCAGCGCCTGCCGGCTTGTTACCGTTTGCTCTGTCAGCCTCCATAGCGTTAGCATGCTTGGCTAGCTGCGGGGATGTGTCGGCACCTGCCTCAGCAGGGCAGGTTACAAAGCCTGTGCCCCGACAGCCTCCGTGTTGCTGGCTATATCTCAGCCTCCACCTCCATCAAAACCCTCCGGGTCTTTTCTGCAGCAATTTGTGAAAATAAACAGCAGATAACATCTGTTGGAAGGCTTGTTTGCTGTTCTTTCCTTCTCTTTCGTCTCAGAGTATATAATTAAAACCAATTATGACAAGCGCAGCATGGTGGGGCCCGGCGTGCCCTGGTGCAGGAAGAGCCTGGTGAGGAAGCACGCCCTGAACTCTGCGCTCCGGCTGCCACACCTGGGACATGCACAGAAGGGCTGGGATGCAGTGCCCTGGCTCTGCAGCAGCACTAAAATGGCCACGCAGGGGTTCAACAGCAAGGGGAGAAGCAGGAGAGGGTGAAGGTAAGGAAAGCTCTTGCTGCTCGGTTGGGATCAGGAGACTCTGGATGCTGGGGCAGGAGAAGGGGGATGGACGGATCCTTTCAATCTGTGCTCGGCTGGAGAGATGCAAACTGCTTTCTGCTTTTGCCACCATGGGATAAACTCTCCCGAGGTGTTTCCTCTGCTTTTGGGAGCTTTTTGGACACCACCGCTGTGGTGTTTTCTTCTCAACTGCTCTATTCTTCTCTGTACAAATGATTGGATCCAACTTTCCCATCATGGCATTTTATGACAAAGGAGCTTGTCAGCAGGTCTCCACCTGTGGTGCCAACAAGGGGACTGCTCGTGTCACCGAGCTGAGGAACACACTGTGACCATGCCATGTGAACCCCTGAATTTGCTTTGCTAAAGCACAGCAGGAACAGACCCAGCAACTATAGAAACCACCAAAGGCTGAGAAGCATTTTGTTATATTAAAAAGGGAACAAACTTACATGGTTATAACACTTACTTGGCATTTATAGAGCATCCTTCATCCAAGGACATCAAATCACACTGAAAAAGCATTCCTATAACACGCTACATGAGGGAGCAAATATATCCACTGAAAAGCACTATTTATGGTGTAACAATGTTCTGCGAGATTCTTGAATTCATGCACCAGGTCCACAGCAGAGCTTGCAGCAGCAAACCCAGTGCTGTGCCCCTGCTGCCATGGTCTCTGTTCAGCTGCTGGGCTCTGGCTTCTCCCTGCGGCGCTGTCCTGGGGCTCCGAGCACCGCTGGCTCCTCTCGGCCACCTCCAGGTGCATTAGCTGGGCTGCCCGGTTCCACCCACACTCAGGGTGCTCCGTTTGGTTCCTTTGTGATGAAGATCTTCTGCCCGTTGAGTCCTTGAAGTTGGCATCAACCAAAAATCCTTTTTTTTTTTTCTTCTGAAGAGCCACCAGATGACATCAGGCTGCTCTGCTCCCCGTAGCGATGAGCTGTGAGACACGCATCCTAGGTGAGAAGCAGGGATATGTGCCTTTCCCTCAGCATAGGCAGCCAGGAGCTGCCTTTCCGGAGCCCAGCGTGGCACCACATGTGTGCATGGCTCCTTCTCCTGCTTCCGCTGGGAAGTTTTCCATTTAACCCCAACAGGTCTGCGGGAACCGGCTCTCATCACACCAGCAACATTGCTTGGCAGGGATGGGCAGTTTGGTTTGAAAAGCAAAGCAAAACAAATACAACAGGCTCCAACCTGTGTTCTGCTGCCTGCAATAACCCAAAAGGGTTTGCTTTGGGGTCAAGGCAGCCAGCAGGATCTTCTGCATTGGTGCTTGCAGAACGGCTGCAGAGGCAGCTGCTGGTCCTTTCCCATGGCTTTAAGTAACAAACAAGCCCCACCACATGCAGGTGATGAGTAGAAGGCTGTCCCTTGCCCAGGTGATCATAATTCAGGTAATACAACCTCTCATTTGTTGTCAATTTCCAACTTCGGGCTGCCAGAATTGGGGTGGCAAAGCCCAGCCATGAAGCAGTGATGCTTGAGAATGAAGAAAAATAAAGGAAAAAGGGATTTTCAGATACATTTAGCTTTCCAAGGAGAAAGGCCTGCAGAAAACGTTAACTCACTGGAAAAGTAAAACTGCTCTGTCTGCACTTTGCTTTTGTACAAAAGGTCAGCATTTTCCATGAAAAAAAAAGCTCCTCCTCCATTCAGTTCTGGTTCAAAGCATGCACAAGCCTTACAGCCATGAACCCTCTGCAGAGCCACTGTGGCCAAAGGGCTGATCCTGACCCCTGGGCATTGGTGGATGGTTATCCCCTGACTTTTCTGCAGCACGAGCTCCACCAAATAATTGCTTTTTTATTAAATACTTGTGCTGTATGATGCAGCAACTCAGTGTCCTGCTATTTCCCCTTGCAACAGACCTACTTCATCTACAATTATTCTAACCAAGATGCTCAGGAGCCACTTGAGGCACACGGCTGGATTTCCTGCAAAGCTTCCCCACTCAGCCCTCTGCTGCAGCCTCTGCTCCCACCTCACTGGGAGAACCCCCTGAAGAATCTAAAAAACATCATGCCAAGTCACAATAAGACTTCAGTGTGGGCTGGGGGCCCCAGATGCCACCAGGGTGCAGTGGCAAAAATGTTTTCCATGCTATGGCTGAACATCCCCAGCCATCCTCCCCATTGCGTGCATTATCCTCGTCTTCAAAAAGAAACTGTTTCAAGGGCTCTGTGTTTTAGTGAGGGCATGGAAAACAACTGCTGATACGTATTTTGGAACTTAACAGCTCCTCCAACCTAAAAGAGAAAAGGGGAAGATAGAAACCAGGAGAAAGGAAAGAACACAATGTAAAATGAGGGTAGGGAAAAGCCTTTAAAGTGGAGCCAACTTTATTCAAAGGCACTGAGGAAAGTAATTACATTAGTTTACAAATGCCTTTGTGTTTCTGCAGCCTTCCTAGGCTCGGGCTCTGTTTCCAGTTTAATTTTGTCAGCTGCCATCCCATCCCTGCTGAACACAGGCAGAAGCGTGGCTTCTGCTGGTGGCCCCTCAGGCTCCTTGCTAAAGGCAGAACACCCCCAGCCCTTTGCAGGCAAAGTCCTACACCTCCTCCAGGAAGGAAAGGTTTGCAAACAACTTGTGAGCTTATGGCATTGATGAAAGATTTCTTTGATGAAAGAAATAAGTGGGGGTGGAAAAGCAAGTGCTTTCAGGCAGTATGTGCTCAGGTTGCAAACGCAACACCCTTCCACCAGGTGCACCCCAATCACAACACCCCAAGCACCCATCAGGCAGGGCTGCTTGGTGTGATCAGACTGCTGGAAGGGCCATAAAGGAGCATGAGGTGTCCTGGCATGCTGCAGCTGCAAGTGATGACTTGCAGAGCCACAACAGCTGGGCAGTAGTCCTGCTTCGCCTTCCCCAAACCAGCCCTGCTAGGCCAAGATGCATCTCATGCAACACAGTACCCGGACATGACCCCAAAAAGGGACTATAGTTGGGTAAGCAGGGGTGTGGGAGATTTGGGAGTGTGATGAGTTTTGGCCCAAGAGGCTGCAACAAGCCCATGCTGGCCTTTTAGCAGCATGTGAGACGTGGGGTGATCATAGAATCGTTGAGTTAGAAGGGACCCTTAAAGGTCATCTAGTCCAACTCCCCTGCAATGAATAAGGACACCTACAGCTCAAATGGGTGCTCGAACCCACCCAGCCTGATCTTGAGTGTCTTCAAGATCTTCTACACTGAGCACTTGGAATCTACAGAGGAATGACGCTGATGCATTTGTTAGCTCTACCATTCCTGCTGGCTTCCGGTGGAAAACAGACAAACCACATATAAATAACTTTCTTGAAGCATCTGCAACATTTTCCAAGTGCTCGCACACATACGCTCACAAAAGAGCTCTGCAGATCACAGCCAGCATGAAGCTATAAAATGGGTTCAGTTGGACCCACACCTGGCACGTCCTCTTCCTCCATGGACATCACGATACAAAGCGCTTCTTTATTCCTCAGAGCAAAACAGCCCTGGCAGCAAGACCAGGCGTCCTGGAACAAAGCAGCAGTGAGCACCGCGAGGCTGCAGCCGGGCACGTCCCAGAGCAGCAAAACACCCTGCAGGGCAACCACGAACCCACCTCCCTGCTGTGCCCATGAGCAGGCTGCCCTGCAACCAGGGAGCTGCTGCCAGATGGGAGGCATTAAACGCATCTTGGTGTGCTTGCTTGTTGTTATTCAGAACTATCTATCTCCTCTTATAATTGAGGTACCCCCAGGGAGTGTGGACAAAACCAGAATATCCAGGGCTGGAAATTGTGCTGGAAAAGTGACACAAACGAGGAGAGAGACACACAAAAGCATCAGGTGGGAGATCGCTCCCCAAACCTGTGTGCTGACAGCAGACAGCACTCCCAAGGCTGAACTATCCTGCATCCCTGCTCCCACAAACCTACCCCAGAATCACAAGGACAAAGGCAGGGAACAATGAGAAACAATTCCCATAACATCTATTTGTTCTGGCACACTGTGCAGTTCTCCGTGCGCTCCTCTCTCACAGCTAATGGCAGCGCATCCGCTGAGTGTTGCTGTTCCCTGGTCTCTTGTTGAGAATGACATCAATTTCTGTCAAGCTTTTGGAGCAGCTCTTGCTCTATAAAAGATCCTGCAGAGACATTGCTTCCTGCTGGCATTAAAGAAGAACATTTGAATCAAGGACACACATCCACAAGTTTTAGACTTGTGAAAGCACATGCCATGAGGTTTCTTTTTTGGAGCACAAAATTGAAATTGGATTAAACAGAGACAGAAACAGCGCTTTCAGAAGCATATGAAGGTGGTCTGGCTGTGGTGTGCTGTCCAGCAGACCCCCACCCTCAGAGTCCCCTGGAGCACCAGCAGTTATAGCAATCATTTGCTGCATTGATTGCAGCTGATAATTCCTCTGAGTATGCCACTTAAAATGCTCTTTTATTTATAAGCTGCGGGATAGCGTGCTGGAATAGTGCTGCAGTGAGTACAGGCTGTAACCGTACACTGGAATAAAGCTCCAGGACAATACACTGGGATGGCTCTGTTCTATTTTCCATTCCCTGCTCTTCTCCTGCCTCTTACCTCTGTCATCCATCACACGGGTGCTTCAAATCTGAGAACCGTGCAACCCATGTCAGAACAGTGCTTTTCTGTTTCTGGGGCCAACGAAAGCAGCCAACTCCTTCCCTGATAAGACAGCTCAAGAATTAAATTGTTTTAACAGCTCCCACTGGCTCACAACCATCAAACCAATGCCCTCGGACACAGAAAGAGAACAGAGGTCCAGATGCATGGTTGTACACTGTTTCCCTATAGCAGAGTGGGGATATACTCATGCCTCCGACTCCTCCAATGGTCCATTGCAGGGTGGGGAAGCAGTTCAGCTCCAGACCACGAGCTCACGAGGTACAACTGCTCTCAGCATCCGGGTAAGATCGGGAGTTATTCATGGAGATCTTGTTATTCCTGGCCATAAATTATCGATTTTCCCTTGCTTGGGGGCTTAAGGCATAGGGTTGCTTCGGTCTGTCTTGACTATTCCTTGCTGCACACAAGGAGTGAAACAGTTTGCTGGATTCAAAGGGCTCAAGAAAGGGTGAAAAAGTAAAATGTACACAGTCATGATCCATAGGCCCAAGTGAGGCACATGTCCTCCAGAGACAGCTGGCCCAGATAAATGACTTTCTGCCACACTGAGGAGGTGGAAGCGGCTATTTGTAGGTAAGGTGTAAATGCTTGCTGTAGATTTGTCTCCACTGTCCTTTGCTCACTTATAAACAGCAGCTGATGGAGCCTGCAGGTTCTGTAACTCAGGGCTATGCTATAAGCCTTGCAAAAGATTCAAGCACAGGAATCAACATTGTACATCAGCTCCTGAACAAATTCCCTGTGACACTGACAGTCTCGCACCACACTGCAAAGCTCTTGAGGTCCCAGCCTTTGCGCCTGCTTTAGAATAAAATGATCTTCTGAACTTTAGCATGGCTAATTTTAGCTCAGATGAGATTTTCCTAACTTTTAAGGGATTCAATTTGAGCAACCGTGCTGTCAGCAAGAGGGAATTAAGTTCTTACAGCACATAGAAAGGTCTTGAATGCTGGCATGTTGGAGCCATACAAAAAGCCACACCGCAGCTGAAGTCAAGGCCCATCCTTTGTTTCATTTGAGAGCTGTGCCCACAGCCAGCTGCTCCTATTATTGAGACACAATAAAGACAGGAATCCTCAAAAGCCCCTTGTATCCAGAAATTCAAGCTGGCATGTTGTAACATCTTTGGGTTTCTCCAAACCACAGGCCCAAGGAATTCAAGGCTGCGCATTCACATGTATTTACACAGCCCTTGTCTAAATATGTGAAAAACACATTACAGAAGCACTTATTCTCATGCATCTGCCTCCAGACGTGGTGTCAGCGTGAGGCAGCCCAGCACTCAGGCTGCCAGCCCCAGCAGACAAGCTGGCTCCCCATCCTGTGGCATGGGATTTGGGTTTGCTCAGGATGGGTTTCTATTACCGTCTACTCATTTCCAGACTTTCACATTTATCTCTTTATCTGTCCAGGGAACTGCAAACCGGCAGAAAGGAGTTCTCTGAGCCCTGAGCTTCCGTTTCTCCTTCCATACAGCCCCACTGCTCCCATCTGCAGCTGCGTCTTCCATAAGGGAACTCCACCTCCTACCATGAGACCATTTTTCATCAGGGTCCTGACGCAAGTGAGATGAGAGTTCACTGCAACCTCACGGCCACCCTGGACAGCCAACTGCTATTGCAAGAAACCACATTTTCTGATCACATTGTAATTTATGGAGCTCACTCTTGAGTTTTCACCCTCCGCCTTCCCTGTTGGCAGGCTGCCGCTGAGCCTTACACCTCTGATAGTTTGAATCCCCTTCCAATTTCCTGCCTGAATGCATTCAGAGCCAGTTTCTATCTGTGTTTGTATGCCAAAGTTTTAGCTTGAGTAACTGCTCTTCCTCCTATAATGCATAGGGAGTGATCCAGCCCTTCGACTGGGGACACCGAACAAACAAACTTTTCTGGGCTCCTCTGCACATTAATATTTCCAGTTTCCTTCCTGTTCAAATTCTCTTTCTTGAGCACAGGTATCATTAATTTTAGCCCATTTTCCTAATGAAATTTTACCATGACTGATGCAATTGAATTTTAACATTTTTTTATATTGCTACCCTCAACCCTGTGGTATAAGCTTGTTTAGAAATACATAATAGATATCACCATTGTGCAAGGACTTTGTAGTCCTGTATGCTGATCAGACATAATACAAGGGAAAACTTGAGCTCTGTTCTTCAATGCAGTGTTTGGATAACGATGTGTAAACACTGGACCAATGCTCAAATAACCAACACTATTTTCACACGGTTGGCATGTAACATGGACCAGCTGACCGCTCCCAGATTAGTGTCCAGGAATCCAATGAGCCCTCATATGTTTGGGCTGCTTTCCATTTAGATTATATTTAATAAATATTTTAAGCTAGGGATGGAAGGTACTCTCCAAATTCGGAATGACCTGCTGAAACTGCCAAAAACCGATGTTATGGTTGTTGGCCAACTTCCCCCTAGAAATCCTGCAAATTGCTGCGCTGAGTGAGACACGAACACTGTCTCCCAAGAACAGCAAGGTAGGAAGGCTGCTGTCCAAGTACAATAAGAGAGCTGCATTAGTCTTTCAGGGGACTACTTACCTCCCCAGCTCATATGCTGTGTGGTTATTTTAATAAAGTAGAATATTGCAGAAAAAGTTGTTTCGTTTCATCTGTTTCACGTCAGAGAAATACAACAGCGAGGCAATGGAAGGCAGAGAAAATTTCACTGTCTGCAAATCTGTACTTTCACCCCAGCCTGACAGCAGTGTCCCAGCCCACAGCTGGGCCCACCACCAAAGGCTCCCAGCAGCTGCAGGCTCAGACACCAGCCTCCAGGAGGCTGCGCAGCACATTCTCTCCACACCACAACCATCACCACTGCCTACAGGCACAAACCAAAATCTCCTCAGCATCCAGGTCCAACACTAGAAGCCACATAGAGCTCATGCAGTAAAGTACAAAAACTCAAGAATATTCAGTGCCACACACCTCCTTTGGCAGGTCTTTCGCGGCCCCACTCACATGGTGATCCTGCACTTTCTCTCCTTCCAAACACTATCCCTACCCTGAACACAAACAGAAATCAGAAGCTCAGGGAGCTGCTCTCCATGCAAGGACAACTCCTGGCCTCATGCAGCAATTCTGCAGCCACACCTTATTTTGTCTCTTCAGATGATCATCTGAGGTGCAAAATGTACCCAAGGGGCCAGCAGATGAGCTATGCTGGAAGGATTTCAGTGCCTATGACTGCTCTTCATTTCTACTGTGATTAGAGAGGTCAGATCTGCTGAAAACCCCAGCAGTGCACCTAGAGAAATGTATTCAGTAAGCCAGCATTTGTATTGAGAAGCACAGTGAACTCCGAAAAGAAACAGATGCTGGAAGAACCTAGAAATACACTAACCTGGGTAATACATGAGACCTCAGTACCTGCTGCTAGCAGTACCAGGTTGGGCATGGTTCTCTGGGGTGACTTGTGAAACTCACCTGGTTTGTGTCCCTTGGTGCGGAGCACATTGGCACCAAGTGTACCTGACCATGCACCCAATGTGGTGCCTCCTGGGAGACTCAAAGGGAGCATCTACTGCAGGGAAGGGAACAGAAGGCAAGGCTGCTCCTTGATTTGCATGCTTGGATGGCACCAAGTGAAACGTACAGTGCTGTGGAGCTGAGAGCAGCACTGAGCCACGCTTGCAAAGACCAGAAAGGGAAAAAAAAAAGAAACCCAAACAACTGGATTTTCTCTAAACAGACAGATAATATTTACAGCCTATGGATGGTGCCAAAATATTTCAGGAAATGCCTAAGCCCTTCTGAATAAAAGCTCAGGAAAACACAGTATTTAAGGACAGTAACTGTAACAATAAGAATGAAAGCCTTCCACACTCTCCCAACCTCCTTACACGATTTAAAATGATTGCCATAGCAATTATCAAGGCTAAGCGTATTTTGCAATCTCCTCTGCAAATTAAGTTCGTAGTTGAACATGCAAAAGATAAGCATAAAAACTAAATGAATCCTGTAAAGTGCACAGAGCAGAAATCAGCGTGCTTTCCACACAGCATGCTAAGGTCTAATCCATCCCATTCAACTCCTGTAACGGAGATGCTGGAAAGAATTGGCTCCAGTGAAGGTTCAAGTAAGTCACAAACATCATGACTAAAGGGCCCAACCTCAAAACCTATGGCCCATTTTTACAGCAAGCTGCTGGTGTTGGCCCTCCATGCAGCAGCTTGGTGGCCTAGGGGAGCAAGACAGGTACACCAGCTGCCCTGGATGCACAAGCATCCTATCAGCTTTTCCCCCACAAAACCGCAGTAGGCATGTTTTTCCTGTTTCATCATGGTAACAAACCTCATCCTGAAGGTACTTTGTTTCTCCATCTCTCAGTTGCCAGTTATACCTACACACCACAAAACAAAAGCCCCACAAGGGTGACATTTCTATTTTATTTCATTGGTGTGTTCAGAACAGACACGAACTGCATGTAGCAAGCGTCTCACATCCCTACAAGAAAACAAGGGCGTTTATTTCTGAAGAGTGAATTCATACTACATATTTGGGAAGCCCAGCATTAGGGTTACCTGCTCAGGTTTCAGGCCAGGAGGTACCCATGCATACTCCTCCAGCGCACAGCCTGAGTCGTCATCGGAGGTGGAATTCCTCTGGAAGTCGAACATCAGCTTGGTGACGGTCTTCTCCATCTCCAGGGGCATAACTGTTACAATGTGCTCTTCTTGGGAGCACTTACAGTGGAGACAAATCTTCCTGCAAGAGGGGGAAAAGAAGAGATCATAGAATCATAGAATGGTTGGGTTGAAAGGTCCTTAAAGCCCACCCAGCTCCAACCCCGTGCCGTGGGCTGGCTGCCCCCACCAGCTCAGGCTGCCCAGGGCCCCATCCATGGCCTTGAGCACCTCCAGAGATGGGCACCCACAGCTCTGAGCAGCTGTGCTGCTGCCTCACCACCCTCTGAGTACAGAATTTCCTCCTAAAGTCTAACCTAAATCTGTTCTCTTTCAGTTTAAAGATGAGACTCCCTGGTGAGCTGTAAATGGGAAAGAGGAGAGCTTCCTGCCAGCCACTGGCCCATCACTGCTCAACACAGCCATTTTTTTTTAATGCTCAGGCACTTTCCAACACAGTATTTGTCTCTCTCACACAAGGAAATAAAAGTCCATGCTTTCTATGACAACATTTGGCAACCCAGCTAGGTCAGTCTGTCAAATGTTTGGGGCTATGTAATTGCTCTTCCCTATACTGCAATGCAAAGAGCATTTAAAGGGGCCACTTGGTGTGAGGGCCACGTGCCCGCCTGGCAGGAGCAGCGTGCCAGCCAGTAATTGTAGGGCAGCGACCAAATGTGGGACAGCAATCAAATTTAGGACAGTCGAGCACTTGGCTAATGCACAAAATGGTGGATTGACTGGGAAGCTGTGAATGACAAGTCTTTTTAGCATGCTGATAGCATAAATTTGCTTATTAAAGTAGCATAAAAATTGATTATAGTCTCAACATATAAAGCTAAATTAAATTAAGGGAGGCAACATAAGCCAGGGTTGCATGCCAGCGGGATGCTAACAGCCTGGCTCAACAGCTTACACACTGCCCTGGACACATAATAAAACCCAAAAGCACAACCAAATGTTGCCATTTAGCACACATTAGCTTAATTCAATGCAACTACAACTTCTTAACATTCCTTTTGAAGTTGATTCCTACTGCTGGTGGTCGATGGGAGATTATTCATGGGCTTGGAGCTGAGTGAAGGACAGATAGGGGTGAGAGCGAAGGACAGATAGGGGTGAGAGCGAAGGACGAAGTGGGCTGAAAACCCCCAAAAAGGGGTTACAGTGAGCACTGATAAATTAGTTTCTATTTCTGAAAATACAACACTCTTCCACGATATGGGTCAGTGGTATCTATTTTGAAGTAACCACGCAGGATTTTGAATTAATTTGTGCTAATCAAAGATCGGTGACTTCTACAGAATTAGGTATCCTTTAGCTTTTCTTCATGCAGTGGAAGGGGGAATCAGGCTTACATCTCAGAAATAATAAGGTAACAGACAGTAAAGTAATGGGAAAGTTTCTGTGATCAATGCAGCTTTCTCTGCTGCAACGGAAACCAAAGAAAATAGGAGGGTGGCAATAGTTAAACATCAGGTCTTGAATTCTCAAACACCTTTCTTTCTTTTTCATCACTACATAAAGGCCAGCGAAGCATAACAGTGCTCAGATCCAGCTTTGAGTCTAAATTTCCACTTGGCCATTACAGCACAAAAAATGCACTCTAGCAAAAGTCAAGAGGCTCCGTTCAGTCAAGCCAGGGAGATTTGCCAGATTTTCCCATTTCCTGCCTTTCATCAGATCTAACATACACACAGACCCAAACGCACACCGAGCGTCTGGTTCGCATCCAGCCAGAAAGTCTCGGCACCGCCTCTGGCTGTTACCTTAAAAAATAATCAAGGCGCAATTTCATGTGAATACTTTAATTTATCAGCTACCGTGGAAAGGCTCTGCCACAGCGAAGCCCCTGGTTTCTTAGCTCTTTCCATCTCATTTCATGATATGATTAGAAGCAGCTCAACATGCAACAAGACGCTAAGAATAATTAATAGCTCCAGAGCCTCGAATTCAGTGTTTGCGACTTGGGCAGTTCTCCTAGTGGAGTTTAGGACTCTTTTGCCAAATTTGATTTTCAGGACATCAATCACATGCTTCAAAGGGTGACAGCCCAGCAGTCTGCTCTTGGAAAACTAATGAGAGAAATGGTGGTATCAGGTGGCAGGATGGAGAGAACGGCCCCGGGAGGGAGGCTGAGTGAGGGCAGCCTCTGTCCCAGAGCTCTGGGATGCGCTACGTGCCAGGGGCCATGGCTACCACAGCAGCACGATGGAAAGGAGTTCCCTCTGCCATCTGGGTTTTAGAATCAGCTTCACATCTTCCAGCGGTGGCTAGAGGAGGTTTTCATGAGGATTATTCACCAGCCATACCCTCCTGAGGGCAGAAGTCAGATTGCTTAAAAATTGCTTGGGAGGATCAGAAAAGCAAAGGCTGAGAAGGACGCACGGAGCCCATCTGCTCAGCTGTGATGTCCCCAGGCCAGGACAATGGGCTTTGTAACCACTGCGCTGTCAAAAAGTGAGCATCTCCAGGGATGGAGCTTGTGCCACCTCCCTGGGTGAATCCCACCAACTTCATGATCTTGCCCTTGAAAGGTTCACTTCTCCTTTCCCCTCGTTAAAAACAGAAGATTAACAGTTTTAATTACAATTATTTTCTTTACGTTAGGATATGTTGTTTCACGGGAACAATACTAAGTGTCTTAGGAGTATCTTTCTACTTCTATGATATGGTTTCCATGACTTCTTCACATAGGTCTCACTTACTCAACTTTATCATCTTTCAGCTCTCTATAATTAAAAATAATTCCCGGTAGTAAAAGCTTAATATAAAATCATACATTTCAAAACGTGAGATGAAATTGGAAAAGCAATATCCCCAACCACACTCAGAGCAGAGTGGCGTTAAGCAAGATAACACCACTGCAACAAAGTGCTGATGCTCGACCGTATGGATGGTGGCAGAAGTGACAAGATCCTGGTGGTGCTGATACTTTGGTGCAGAGCCAAAAGCTTTGGGAAGTATTTGGAGTCGCCAACATGCCTCACAGCTCCCACCAGCTCATTAGGCATTACCGAGGCTGTGGGATATGCACACTGGGGTGTCCCAGAGAAAGCAGAAAAGATCTGCGAGCTTATCATGCAGAAGTGCTGCCCTGGTGAGTATCAGAGATGCCCAGCAACAAAGCCACTGATGCTGTTCCTGAAAGGTGGGAATATCTCAGATACTTGCTCAAGTCGGAGCTGAGTGAGGACTGCTGAACAGAAGCCTAGTAAAGCTATGCTTCTTAATAAAGCACAGAAAGTCAATGGCATCCCCAGTCTTGGGCCCAGAGAGCAAACAGAAGAGCTGCCAAGCAGCAGGAGCCTGTGGGCAAAGAACAAAGGAGAGAGGGAACGTGCTGCTGTGGGAAGCATGGCTACAGAGCATCCCCAGGAGCTGTGCATGGGGCAGCCTCACAGCCAGGCTGAGAGGGAGGGAAGAACACTGGGAGAAAATAACATTTCCTGGTTTCAGATTTAGCTGGAAAGAAGCCCGCCTTGAATTGACTGCACATGGTACAGAGCAGCAGCGGCTCAAAAACAGATTGAAAAATTTGTTCGACTTAAGGTCAGCAATTCATCTGATGAAGTTACAAGATGGAGGGATGTGATTTTGCAATGGCTGCTTGACGTGGTGCTGCTGGCACACATGGGACCCACCATCCCATGCAGCCCTCAGCTGAGCACTCTTCCTTCTACAGCATAAAAAACAAAACAAAACCCAACAAGGGAATGTGAAGGAAGCAGGGCCAAACAGATCAAGAGGAAAATCTGGCTCCCAATCCCCTCTTGCTTGGGATGTAGAAGCATGTTTCCGGCCAAGGTCCAACTCCATGAGGTTCAACATGAGCCCAATTGATCTATAGGACAAGGATGTCTCTTGTTACATACAGCAGTTAATAGGGCACAACCTCTGTCATTGCCAGAGCCCATAACCTCAGCACCAACAGTAAGTGAAACTGCTGAAAAAAACCCTGGGAAAGGCAGGACTGAGAGTGGAGAGAGCCTGAAGCCAAGGCAGCGGGAGGAAGAAAACAGCTCTTTGCAAATGGTTTGGGACAGCAGGAGCAGTGCCTGCCAAGCTGGCCTCATGCTGCGTCCCTCCAGCCAACAGCTCTCAGGCTACATGAGCACAGATTTGCTCTCCTGGGCTTGTTAATGTGCAATGCTCCTGCCCCCATAAACCCTGTCTGCCTTGCTGAGGATCTTATTTCCAGCTCAACTGGATGGACACACGGGCATCACGCAGCAAATGCCGCCATGTTAAAATTCCTCTTGGATACAGAGGGAACTGGACAAACAGTTCTTATCACCCACTGGCACTGCTTATCTCTGTTCCTTGCTTGTTTTTTTTCCGGGATGGAAATAAATGGGTTGCATGAGGGAGCAACCCTGTCACTGAGACAATGTGAGAACAGAGCCTCATCTGCAGCACAGGGCCACCAGACGTCTGTGTTACGCTCTATTATAAAGGATTTGCATGAATTTGTGCTCACATTAGCATGCAAGATTGGGAATCCCTCAAAAAAACAATTCTTTACTCAGCTTGGATGCAGTGTGTAAAATATAATGGGGCAATTCCCTTGCATCAAGGTGTAAGATGTACATGGCGCTCTGATTTCTTCCTAGGATTGAGCCATCATTCTGATTGCAATCAGACTTTTCAGTCACCAAACTACAAGACTTCAAGGAAAAAGGGAAAGGCTGAGGATTTGGAGTGGCTCATGTGACCCCTGAGCCTCTTAACAAGGGCTTCTCAATGTCCCTGCCTGTTATCTCCTCCCTTCATTTGGGAGCTAATCAGGCATCCTGCCACCCTGAGCTCCAGCTACACAGTTCCATTTCCCCAGATCCCATAGGCAAGGCAGACATCTGCCCAAACTGGAAAATGAACACAGCCCTATGCTCCCACAGAGTGCCCTGCAAATCTCCTCCAGTACAGGAACCTCTCTCTCATTTTAAAGATGGGAAAGCTGAGACACGGCAGCAGGAGGTGTT